TTTGTTAGATTCTCACGCAGAAGAGACCATTGAAATGTATTTGATGGTGGTGGCGGTTCAATATCCTCTGCTCCAACTACAGCAGCAGAACAACCTTTGACGCTTCTAACAGATTTGAGTTTCACCAGCACACAAGACAAAAGGAATTGGCAAGGGATCAGCAACTCTGCTGCGGTATAAACTCGTTAAGTGGTTAGCTTAGGAAAAATGTAATGGCCTTTTGGCAGCATGCACGTGGGCACTGCGCACAAGTAAGGATGTGCAGCCTCAAAGGCATGCTGCCAAAGCTGCATCTCCTCAAATAACTCCTCTCTCAAACTGGGAAGATTCTCAAGCATAGCTGCTGAATATTTGCTGTCAAATACTCAAACAGAATAAATATAAGCTAGGCAACAGCCAGGCTCTTTTTCAGTTGAGGAAGGGACAGAAATTCACTTTTTTTATAGAGAAGACCACACCTTTTACTGATACATGTATCTACATAAACAAAATTGTGAAATGTAGCAATAGATCTTAATTTCTTTCAATATATTTAGAAGTACCAGCACTTCACTTATGATCAGTCTTTACTTTAGTATATCAGATTCAGCTCCAAGGCAATTACCTCATAATCCAAGTTTCTGGGCTTGTCAGAAACGTCACATTTAAAGATACCATATTTCTTCCATTCTCACATGCATGATTGACCACTCTTTAAAACAAGTTTCTAAAGATTAAACATGGAAAATGTCAACCTTAGAGGTTAAGGGATAAGAACATTGTTAGTGAAAATAGAAGATTAGAATGGAAACTCTTTTGTGACCTCCTCTGAGGCAGTTACAGCTCAACTAGTAAAAAAGGACATAATTGAAAGATGAATTTCTCATAAACGCTTAAGAAAACCATTACTCAAGAGCTGAGCTTTTCACTTTTTGGGAAAAGACAAAATGTGACTGAGCATAGTAATGAATTTTTTTGTAAAGAATACAAGTGCCTTTGCTGCTTCTCAGGAAAAAAAAAACCAACACAACAAACAAAACCTGGTTCTTTTCCTCCTTTTTCCTGGAATTCTCAAGAGAGGAAGTGTTTGCTTTCCAGTCCATTGTTAAATAACACTTGCATTACTGGAGTTCCAAGAAACTCTTAGACAATCTTCTATCCCATAAGCATGTATGAATCAGCAGATGTCAGACCAAAATATCTCCCCCGTAGGAGAAAAGATCTGCATATGTTGATGAAAATGGAGTCAACCCACAGCTCTAATGAAACTGTAAACTTTTTTTTTTTTTAAATAAGAGTAGTGGAACATAAATCCAACACAAAGGGAGAAAATTTTAAAATGGCAATAGCTCTTAAGTTTTTCTTTATATCAAACAATGAAATATCAAGTATGTAACACATAAGAGATTAGTAGAATCACAGCAAACCTAGTAAACCCAATATACTTGAGGAAAGTAAGGTGTAAAAAGACATAAATGACTTCCCCAAAACTATGGAAGAAATATCTACCAGAGCTACATGTTTACTGGCACAAGTTATATGCTTTGATCGTTTATCATTTCTGTCTCTTGAAAAAAAAATATGATATGATTGAAAAGATTTAATCTACTATCAAGAAAAACAGTAATAAATTCTGGTCTGGGCTTCTAAATAAATTATGATCACATTTAATCTACAAACATGATTTGCAAAATTGTTACCCTTAAAGAGTAACTCATGCCAGAAAGACAGGTGACAGTGATTTCTACAGAAGACTGCTTAATTTACCTGTGCTGCAACCGTACAGGTAAAGGACCACTCCCTATTTTAAAACTGGCTCCTTTTAAAATTAAGGTACACCTTGTCTTATTTTTTCTGGTTTAAAACACTGGCTGTAACTGCAAACTAAAATGAAATCAGCAGCAAAGCAAAAGTTCATCAACTTACTTTGTATAAAAATTTGAAAATGAGAAAGTTAGGGAGTAATTTCCATCTTTTTTTATTGCCGCTTTTATCTTTTTTCTAAGTGCCTATACAGAACAGCAGACCTACGGGAACACAAACCGTGATACCAACTCACTGACACGCAATGTGACTGTCAGGCAACCGCACAAAGCGTGTTTGGTGAAAGGCGCAGGCGGCTCACACAAAGCGGGTTTTCACAAGAATTTGGGAGCTGAGGAGGGAGTCCTGTATACTACATTGAGGAGAAGGTTTAGACGAAAAGGCAGACTAGAAGATATTTAGAAGTTCCAATAATTAAGGATGGCAACTTTGGTCAATGAAGGGCCAAAAGATAAAATTCAGTAGTTCCTGCGTTGTGTTATCTAAACCGAACAGCAAACCACTCCCATATGCTTCTTTGCAATTCAGCTAATACACCATTGTGTTAATATTACCTCTTCTTGCTGAGACCACTGCAGTGGAAAGCGCTGAGTAAGCAGAAACTCAGATCCGTGACCAGGTCCTTAGATCACAGATTCTTTAGTGGGGAGGCTTTGTCACATTTTTTATCTTAAAGAGCATAATAGACATAATATTGCTTATCTAACACAGTATTTCACACATCATTGTATGAGGAATTTAACTTCAGAATGGTGGATTTTAATGGAGCAAGACATTCTTTTTTGTTCTTTTTAAATGAGTAATTTTCCTAACATCTTAACGTCATCCTTGTTGCACAAATTCTTTCACGTAGTTTGAGATACTTAGCATTAATGTCATATTACGCAACAACATAGAAATGATATCTGCATTTCTGGAGCAAGACAAGGCACATCTGGATAAATCTCTCCTCATAAATCCGAGAAGAATCTCTCAAAATAAGCAGATGGATTCTCTTTAAAAAACTTTAAACTGGCCAATTTTTATTTAAGATTTAAGCTGAAGTTTCTGCATTCCAGCATATTTTCATATTGAGATGACAAAAGTCAGCAAAGGGCATAACAACAGGTCATTTGGGCCTTTAAGGAATACAGTACTTCCACATAATTTGACAAAGTGCAAATCGTAGTCTGCAAGCAGCAAGAAAACCGTAGATATTTTCCAATTTAGAACCGACAGAAAGCATGGAAACTGCTGAATTCGGGCATATTGGAAAAAAAAAAAAATCCAAAATGTCTATAGACTTAAATGACCAGAACAGCTCGTTGCCGACCCTACATTCCTGAACTCCTGGTTCTGAGCGTTTAGCATAAATCGGTTTAAGTTCTCTTACAGTCCACGCCCGCCGCGAGCAGTTTTCCAGGACGGGACCCGAGGCTGGGGAACAGCTCTGCGGCTCCGAGCAGACTCCCCGCGGGGAGCGCCCCGCTCCCGGACACGGCCCCGGCTAAGCGTGCTTCCCGCACCCACCAGGCAGCATTTCCAGCAGAAAGGAAATCTGTCAGTTTCTGGGAATTATACTAGTTTTGTCTTAAATTATTTCAAAGGGAGGGCCTGAATTAAGTAACCTCCAGAAAGGAAAAACACTTCTGCCAA